TAATGTTAGTAAGACTTGTTAAATCAGCAGAAGTGCTAGGGATATAGCTTAGTGATAGCATGCTTGGATAGCCTGCACAAGGCCCTGGATTCAGTGCCCCACTATGCCAGATAGAGGGTATTGTTGATTCATTACATGTTTATGGTGCAGAAAAACTACATTTCCAAAATACTTTGTTGTCAACTCCTAGAGTCTGGCTTAAAGTTTTTTTGTCATTATTTTGGACCTTTATACTTGGTGAGAGAATATGTAGATAGGCATTTGATATTTTTTCTGTTGCTAGCTCTTAACAGTTACCACAGAATGACAAGTCTACTTGAGTTCTAGGCTGTATCCCTGTGCCTGAGTTTCTTAGTCAGGAGATGGCTTCAGGAGAGTGTGTTAGGAAGTGCTTCCTTTCTGGTGCTAGCTTAGCCCCAGGGTCAGTTAGCAAAAGCTGTAGACAAGAATGCAGAAGAATTGCTGGGCAGTGGTGGCACACACCTTTTATCCCAGCACTCGGGAGGCAGAGGCAGGCGGATCTCTGAGTTCGAAACCAGCCTGGTCTACAAGAGCTAGCCCTCAAAGCCACAGAGAAACCCTGTCTCAAAAAAAAAGAAAAAGAAAAAAAAGGCACTAGGGCATCTCAGCATTTGGTTGTCAGACAAGGCCTTGTAAACACAATCTGTCTTTGAATGAGAACGGGGAGCACAGCTCAGAGTTAAAATGCTCCACACCTGTGGGAACCTGGGGGCCATCTTCTTTTGAGGGCTCTGGGTTCCTTGTACTTGTGTCAGGAACTTCAAGCTTTGTCATAAAAACTTACATTTATTGAGACAGGTTTTGCTCACTGCTCCTTTGTCATAAATGTTTTATTTATATGAATGGATTTGATCCAGTGAGTAACATGAAGTAGATAATAGATGAGGAGACTAAGGCAAAGGTTGGTGTCTCCTCCCCAAGAACCCAAGAGCCAGGAATTAGCCCTAAACAGTTTGTCTCCAAAGTCCATTCCTAGAGAACCACCAAGCTTATAATTATCTTCATTTATGGAAGTTCATTTTTACCCTGAGTTCTGGGAAGATCTCAGTCATGAGTCGATGGGAGTCACTTCTGGCAGAGTTGGAACCCTCTTCAGTGTACATTACAGAGTAAGCATCGCACTGATTCCTCAAACACCACCTCACCTCCCCCCCCCCCCTTTTTTTTTCTCTTCTAGTGCTGAGGAATGTAAGCAAGTTTGCTGGGCCTTGCGAGACTTCACCAGGTTGTTTCGATAGCTCAAGCTCACACTCCTGCACTGTGCCTGTCATCCAGGTGAGTTGTATATGCTTCTAGTTCTTTCTGGGCTGCTGGGGAGGCTTAGAATGGGGCTCTTTAAGGCTCATAGCTCAAATCAAGGAAGGAAGATAGTTCAGCTATCTCAGCATCTGCGATAATTCAGGACCCTGATTGTCTTGGGGCAGGGCAGACACATCATCAGTATATCTGGATACCATTTTCTACTCCATAGACGGTAATTGCTGTAGAATACACCAGAAAAGGGCTGGAGAGATGGCTCATCTCTCAGAGAGATGGCTCAGGATCTCTGCTCTTCTAGAGATCCTGAGTTCAATTCCCAGCAACCACATGGTGGCTCACAACCATCCATTATGAGATCTGGTACCCTCTTCTGGTGTGCAGATATACACGGAAGCAGAATATTGTATACATAATAAATAAATAAATCCTTTAAAAAAAATACACCAGAAAATTTTCTTCCCTCATAGCTTCTTTTAGCCTGAGAAGTCAGTACTTTTTAACCTCTGCTACTTTGCTGAGAACAAGGGAGAGCATAATTCCTGGCACCAGTCTTCTAAGATAGACGTGCCAGAATTAATGTGTGAGCAGTTTATTCTTCCTGTTTGTATGATTGAAATGCCAGGGAGGTGTAGGAAAGCAGCAGTCTCTCTAGCTGTCTCCTGACGGTCAACTTTCTCTGTGTGTGTCCCTTCTGATTCTGAAGCAAAGCCAGACACTCAGCTAAGGAAAGGGGTGGCTAAGTGGTAAAATTTGCTTGCAGTTTATTGCCTAAGTAAAGAAAGGCAATTCTCTAAGCCTGCCCTTTCACATTGTAAGGAGCATTTATTGTCCCACCCAGTAGGCAATATTCTCAATCTGTGGTACTGACTGGTTGTTTCTGTATAAATGCACTATTAAGTGGTGTTCAGTGGTGTCTTATCACACCCAAAATTATGCTAAAGGTTGGTTCTTTAATGAGTACTAACATCATCTGAGGTTGTCGGAGTTTGCATATGTCTGAGAGCTAGCATTGATAGACCTCAAAAGGTAGCTTGTAGATGTTCACCTCTCCTGTTCATCAAGACCTTACTAAGTGTCGGGTACCATTCCTGTGTGTTGAAGTTCTTACTGTAATAGATGACACATCTGTTCAGTGCGCTTTCCCTAGAGTTTAAATCATTGTTAGTAAACAAAACCCTCCTTCAAAACTAAATGTTACATGAAAACCCAATATTTAACAGACTAAAGTAGAGCTTTTCTGGTGGTTTAGCATGAAAGGCTCGATTCTGTTGGCTTGCTCCCAGCCTTTACATCATCCTTAGTGTCTGTAGCTCAGCACTGGAGACATGCTGCAGGCAGTGTTTTAGGGAAGTTGATGTTGCCTTGAAATTAATTGCAAGCTGGGGAAAGCCAAACTTTGGTTTTGCTTGCTTGTTAACGAGGGTTCGGTAGCAGAGTCCACAGTTAAGTGCCTGAGAAAACACAGCGCTGCCTCAGGCTGGCTTTCATCTGTCTTCTGGTGCCCAGCTATCTACTGTCTCCTCTCTTTTGTCAGGAATGTCTTTTTTTATTAGAAGACAGGAAGAAAACAACCCAGACTGTGTCCCACAATCAGAAACCTCCGTGTGGCAGAGGGGCCTTCACTGCTGCCAATCTCCTGAGGCATCCTGAGGAGCCCCTGTTTGGGGTGTGAGGGAGAAACAGCGCGGTTTTTAAAGATGGCTGCAGCCTGTCCGGCGTGGTGGGAGGGGAACTAGTTTCCTGGTGAACTTCTTTCTAAAAGGAAAAATAATTTAAGGAAATTTCAAAAAGAAGAAAAAAAAAAAAAAAAGGCAAGCTGAGATGAAACCAGAACTGTAACATTCACCTGGTAGCAGATGACGCACACACATGATAGACACACACCAGCATGCAGTGCACACACAGAAACATGCCAGTGAGAACTTTCTGTGAGACGGGCACATTACTAAGGGGAATGTGGGAATTCAGATGAGGAATATAGCTACAATTGGAATTAAAGAGTCGGGTCATCTCTGTTCTCCTTCCTTTAAACATGGGTGAATAGAAGGAACACTTGCACACCCCAGCTGTCCCACCTTTAGAGATGACCAGACAAGGAGCCTGGTCTGCTTTATGTCATGGTCAGGGATGATGGAACTCGCCAGGGCCAAAGTTGCTATTCATGCGGAGCCCAACCCTGACCCTATTGAGTTGCTAAGTCCACTGCAATTCACATGAGTTGTCATCAGCCTTGGGGAGAAAAACCAAAAGTGGGGTGGGTGGAGAGGATACAAATGTGTATTAAATCTTTCTTTTTCTTAGTGAATTATTCATCTGCAGACATAGGAGGGGGAAAAGAAACAAAAAAAGAAGGTATGGAGGAAATGTATTTACAGGACGACTGTATTTTGTTAAAAAGTGTGAAAATGAATTAACTTCTTGGGACATGAGGCCGAGTGGGAAACCCAGAACAGATCTTAATGAGGGAGTGTGGTCTTGCATTGCCATTAGATTACAAGGACACTGTTCTGTCCTGTGGTGTAGCCATCTCAAGAATAAATCAACAGCACCAAAAAAAAGAAAAAAAGAGAAAAAAGACAGAAAAAAATAAAAACCAATTTTTAAAATTTTACCAGTCTGTGTTTTTATTTCCATTCACTACCTCACTGCTTCGAAATGATTCTGGCTAATCCCTAATCCACCTCTGTATTCAGCCTGGGGCAACCTAATAGGTATCTGGAGCAGAGTTTTAAAAGGCAGGCCCCGCCTGCCCGCCCTTGGTGTCAGGCCCTTCAAGGCACTGCTGATTAACCAAAAACCTCACAGAGCTAGGAGGTGAAAATCTAAAAACCAAATAAAATATCTTGGATGTAGTCCTGAAACCTAAAGGGTAGGAAAGAGTTAACTATAAGTGGGAAGTGGGGGGGGGCCGTAAAGATTTCTTTCGTGAGACAGGGTCTCACTGGCCTCAGAATGGCCTTGACCTTCTTATCGTGCCTTGTCCTCCTCAAGTGCTAGGAATATACATACGTTCCAAACCTGGTTGTTTTCTTATTGATTTAACTGTTTCTTATTAGTGCTGGAAATGGCACTCCAGGCCTCCCATGGAAAGCACATATCCTATAGCTGAGCTTATTTTCTTCAACTGTTTATTGTGTGTGTGTGTGTATGGTGTGGGGGCCACTATGACCATGTGGAGGTCAGAGGCCAATGTTTTAAAGTCTGTTCTCTCCTCCTCCCACCTGTCTGTGGTTTCTAGATACCAAGCTCAGGTCAGGCTTGAACATGGAACCTTTACTTCCTGTTCTCAAAAAGAAAAAAGCATCCTAGATTTTGATGGTCTGAAGTGTGGCTAGAATCCAGTTATTCTCTCACTCTCTTCAGGGAAGGTGTGGGCAGTTGTTAGACAACACATTCAGAATTCCACATCTGCCTCAGTCTGCTTCCTCCTTGAAGCAGAGCCAGCCAGGTAAGTGTGAAGGCCCAGTGAGCAGGGTCTCCCCTACCCTTTGGAGAGCAGGTACTGAGACAAAGCCAGTCGACAGCTGGACAGTCTGCAAGCACAGAAGAGCTGTTGGCCCTGGAAACAGTCAAGAAATGGGCAAATCTGTTTTTAACATTTATTAATCCAAAAATATATTAGATTCTACTTTGTACCCCAGCTTCTTAGACTCTGAAGGAGGGCAGCTGTCAGCCCCAAGTGTCTAGTGACATCCTTGTCAGAAGGGAGATGAGAAATCTCAAACTAGGGAACCCCCGAATCAGGCCTGTTCCCTGCAGAAGCCCCACCAACACTCCTTGGCACTTTTTTGCTAGAGGAATTGGGGCAACCATAAAAGTTGGCTACCCTGGGGTAATTGGACCTGTGTATCTAGGCCCCAGACTAGTGATACTCCCTCCCTCCCACTAGAGCTGCTGGCTACATTTCTTCAGAGCCAAACATTAGAGAAATCCCTGCAAGACAGTGCTCAAAATGAATTTTAGGGAGAACGTGACCTCTTCTATGTCCTTTTTGGGCCGACTCTTCTTTCAAGAGACTCAGAGGTAGAACCCTGCAGCCAGCCAGGCCTGCTGGGACCACTACATTGCCATGCCAATCTCCACAGTTGCCCCAGGAAGCCCAGGCCAGCAACTATCTGTAGCCTTGTTATTGCATGCCAACTGGGTGCATGGGCCAGGGCCCTTGGCCAGCACCAAGGCCTGCCATAGGAGGGGCCTGGACCATGGGCTGCAACCGCTGCTGGGACTGCCAGATGTGATGGAGCTCCTTGAACTGCTCCACCATGTGGTCTTTGAGATCTGGGTTTGAGATCTGCAGCCGGATGCTGTCTGCTGACCAGGAAAGCTCCCCTGAGAACATCTCCAGCAGCAAGCGGGCTGCAACCGGTACCACCTGGGGAGCAAAGGAAAGACAGGGCATGGAGAACTGTGGCATTGCTGTTTAATCTAGCTGGTCATGAAGACATCCAGAGGCAGATGGTGGACTGTCTCCTTTGGCCCTAGCAACCAAGTCCTCATGGCCCAGTTGGCCCCTCCTCAACCCTGGGCCAAGGGTCCAGCCCCATGTCTCCTGATATCCAAGCTGCAGCAGAGTTGGCTAGGTGCACACCTGTACAGTAATAAGCTTCTTCTCTCGGGGTTTGAGGTCAGGCCATTCTTCTCCAAAGCAGAAGAAGATCTCGAAAGGTGGCGGGATGTTGGTCTGACCCTTCTGGAACAGGATGAGTTCTGCATCAAGATTAAGGCCTCTAGTTAGAGGTGAGAATCCTATCCCGAGTGAGGGACAGCAGGAGGAGCATGGGATGGACCTCACCGTTGAGAAACTGCTCTAGGCTGAAGAGCTTTGTCTTGACTTCCCGCTGGATGGGGTTGGGGTGTGAGCCCTGGGCTAAGGCACAGGGCCCACTCCAGAACACCTTACACTGGCACAGACGGATGGCATACAGGTCCTGACCCTGCAGCTGAAGGATGAGCCCACGATCCAGGACATCTAGCAGCTGGTTTGTATAGAAACGCTGCTTCTCGCTGGGGATGTCCTCTGGGCTAGGGAAGCGCACTTGCTCCAGACTCACAGGGCCAAAGAGTTCCACTTGCTCCTGGGTGGCTTCTAGCTGGCTATAGAAGAGCCTACAGCCTTGTGGGTTGCTGATGGTGAGGGCACGGGGTGGACGACCGCGGTACTGGAACTTGATCTCCAGGTCAGTCACTGTGGAACAGAGCATCAAGTTGCCCAGGCTGTGAGCCCAACCTCACCAGCCTCCCCAGTTTATCCCTGACCCAGGAAGACTGGCCTAAAAACTTTTCTTGTCAACCCAGTCCCATTCCCACTTACTGCTCTGCCCTGCCAACCTACCCAGCCCACCAGAGTTCTTACAAGGCAGCATGTGGGGGCTGATCAGCAGGTCAGGCAAGAGTTGTTCTATAGGGGGCTGGCTGGAAGCCAGTGGTCCAGGTTCCAGGTCCTCAGGGAGAATCTGCCCGAAGCCAGCAGGATTTCCAGAGGGATGGGCCAGGATATTTGGGTCTGGGGCAGGGGGACCCAGCCCTACGGATGACTGGAGAGCAGGTGACCACTTGACGCCTTCTTTGGGTAAGGAGTAGGGTGCTATGGGAGGCCCGGGTAGCACGGGTTCTGCAGAGGTTGTGGTGAACACAGCTGTTAGTGTTCACCTCCCAAAATCTCTCCCAGGCCTGACTAAGACTCGCCTCCCCCAGTGCCCTCCCAAGTACCTAAGATGCCTGCCACTTTTTATACAAGACACCACCACCCCGAAACACACCACCTTGCAGCCCCACCTGTGATGCTCAGGCCTGGCAACATTCTCTGGAGCTGAAGGGAAGACACAGGCAAAGGAGGAGGGAAGGCAGGACAGGTTATTAAATTGGTGTGATGCTGAGGAAACCATGCTGGACAAACAAGGCAATACCCCAGCTTCGGTCCACTGGAGACCAGACCCCACTGCTGGTCCCAGACTTGCCATCCTCAGCAGGTCATGAAAGCTGTAGGTGTCCCCATTGCCAAATGTGCATTCTGTAGGCAGTACTACCCACAAGCCTAACTGTTGTGGAGGCCAATAAAAACATGTGACACTGTAACAGCAAAGCCCTACCTAGGAGGGACAAGACGGCACTCTGTTCTCCTTCAGAATCAAAGGACAACCCAAAGAAGAGTTAGAGAGGAGGGTGGGCTCCAAAGGAAAGGACTGCT